AGGTATCCTTTGGAGGTGCTTATCAAGTTCTCTCTTGAACACTGTGAGGGGTCGGCCAGTTATGTCCCATATGTGTAGTGGAAGGGTGTTGAACAGTCTCGGGCCTCTGATGTTAATAGAGATCTCTCTCAGAGTACCTGAGAAAAGCACCTTTGCTTTTCAACGAGGGTATTCTGCACATCCTACCATGCCTTCTGGTCTCATGTGATGTTATTTCTGTGTGCAGGTTTGGGACCAGCCCCTTCTACTATTTTCCACGTGTAAATTATTATGTATCTCCCGCCTGCGTTCAAGAGAATACAGATTTAAGGCCTTTTAGTCGGTCCCAGGATATGCATGGACATACCTACAAAATATATCCCTTTGCAGCTTTATATTTTCTTGTTTATTTACACTTTACTAATTTTACTATTGTTATTTACTATTTTTTTTACTATTACGTTGTTCTGCAAACTGTAATAAAAAACCTGTTGAGTTTAATTATCTTATTGGCTGGGTGTGTTTTATTATTAAAACTATCAGGTGTAGAGCGCATGCGTACGGTAACACCTTTGGGAAGGGAGAATTAAGGTAGCATAGGAGATTGATGAGTGGGAGGATGGAGGGATATGGGTCGGTAGAAATGTTGGGTGAGAGGGGAGGTGTGGGGGAGGGGGAGCGTGCAAGATGGCTAGGAGAGTTGGTGAGAGAAGAAATAGGAGGGAAATCTGGAGGGGGAGGGAGTGACTGCATTAACGGCAAGTTGTAAAGCTAAAAGTTTCTCACATAGACGGTGAAAATGCATGAGTGTGTCACTCGGGAGGTTCTCGTCCGTACATAACCCGAGGGTGAAGAACAACACGCTCTTAATGCTTCACTCGCTCACCGTCTACTGTATCTTCCTCATGCTTCCTCCCGATTATGTGCCTCTGTAATCATTTACACCACCGCTCGCGGGATGGGTATGGGGTGCATAATAAAGAAAGAAATCAATCAATCATTCCTCCCGTGACGTATATTGTAGCAAGGCTCGGTCAAGGTCAGCCAAGCATCCCGGCCGTGGTCACATGCGTAAGCCGGGCCGAAACAAAGCTGCATATCGTGAAATGTACGCTTTCATATACGCTTCCCATGCATGCTTACAAAGGTTTGTAAGCGTAATACCCGAAATGCCTGAAACCCGAAACGCTGCGCATACTAGTGGCTTTGCAAGAATGTACATACCATGCTATGTATCCTCACAAACCCAATGTACCTTCTTGTAGTAATGCCAATAAGGCGTTTTGTTTGTCATTGATCTATATTAAATAATTTTTGTCAACCCTTCACCAACTTCCCTCTCTTTCACTATGTACCTTCCCTACCATTCCGTACCTTTTGCACATGTTTCCAATCCTTCACCACTTTCTCTATCCTTCACCAATATCCCTACCCTTCACCACCTTCCCTACCCCATCACCATCTTCGCTATCCTTCACCGTCATCCCTACCCTTCACCACCTTCCCTACCCTTCACCACCTTCCCTACCCTTCACCACCTTCCCTACCCTTCACCACCTTCCCTACCCTTCACCACCTTCCCTACCCTTCACCACCTTCCCTACCCTTCACCACCTTCCCTACCCTTCACCACCTTCCCTACCCTTCACCACCTTCCCTACCCTTCACCACCTTCCCTACCCATCACCACCTTCCCTACCCATCACCACCTTCCCTACCCATCACCATCTTCGCTATCCTTCACCGCCATCCCTTCCCTTCACCACAATCCCTATTCATCACATCCATCCCTATCCTTCACCGCATTCCCTACCCTTCACCGCAATCCCTGCCCTTCACCGCCATCCCTATCCTTCACCGCCATCACTATCCTTCATCACTTTCCCCCCTCATAACTATAACCATCTTCTCTGTGCACTGTCTTCATTAAATAAATTAAGACAAACGGCTGGTATTGAGCGAAATTGGAAAACATTATAACTTTTTCTTTATTAAAAATATACAATATAAAGATTATATTTACATCAATTTCCATCACCATTTCATTACATCAGTTTCAAATGAAAGATCAACAAACAGCAAGGAACTAACTGCTTGCTGTTAATTTGAGTAGATGCGGCTGGTGATGCCTTGGTTCGCGCCACCTCACAGTCCTGGTGGATTTTCTAAAGGAACTGCTATTTGATGCAGATTAACGTCTAATTAAAAAGTAATAGACCAGTCAGAAGGAAGCAGTCGTTATTAGATGAAGATTAACATGTGCTTGACGAGCAGATGTTAATCTGCTTGAGAATGAGATGTTAATCGACTTGAGAATGGTCCAGGACGGGCCGAAACATCGTCGTCCCTTCAACTTCTAGTGTGTGGTCTGGTCAACATCTGCTTGACGAGTGAACAAATAAAAACAGATCCTTGATCAAGAACTGCTAAACACTTTGGTTTCAGCCCGCTGCGTCCTGTTAATTACTGGAAAATACCCCAAATGACCACAAAGTCCGTAGCCTAACATTTGTGGTATTTTGTGATAATTAGTAAGACATAGGATACTTAGTGGTAACTTTGCTGTATTTTGTGGTAGCTTTGTGTTACTTTCGTGGTGCTTTGTGGTAATTAGCGGGCTCGGCTGCGCACAAACACCCGGGGAATGATTTTATTAAGTAGGAATTTCGTTGAGCCAGAAAATATAAAATTATATTTTTTTACACCATGGCAAAAATTTTTGTAACGATATAATAATTAACTAACTATAAGCTAACTTCCTCTAGTAAGATTTAGTCATACTATGATAAAAGTCAATTAGATTATGGGTAGTCTAGGTTTTTAAATATTTTAGAGATTTTAAAGGATTGTTATTTGCTTAGCTAAACGAATTAGAGGGTTCAGTTCCTGAACCGATTATGTGCCTCTGTAATCCTTTACACCACCGCCCACGGAATGGGTATGGGGTGCATAATAAAGAAAGAAATTGAATTCTTCCTGCATGCTTGTAACCCCAGCGAGAGTTTTATCTAAAATAATTATAGACATAAATATAATGCAGCTCCAAAGACGTCAAATCCAGATTAAAAATATTAAGTATTTATCTATATCTATAAATCTGTATTAAAATATTCAGACAAATCTGAATACTGGTAGTTGGTAAAATAGGATATAGTAGCATCACGCAAACATTGCCCAACAGACGCGTGTTCGATTCTCCGTATGCAGGGAGTAACAGTGCCTAACCCAGTTTAAAATGGTTTCCGGAGTAAAACCAGCCCCATCGACCGGTCGGAGTATTTCAATTGGTTCACAAACATCTAGCAAGAGGGAGATATGTACCTTCCTGTTGCACTCAACTGTAATATTTTTTATTTATTTATTTATATATACAAGAGTTCTTACATTCTTGTACTGCCACTAGTACATGTAACGTTTCATATAAGTTCCAGCAGTTATAAGACGGGGCACACAATATGAAACTGAATTTCTGGCTGATGCAAACAAAGCTTATTGACGATTATTAAATAATTGCACTAATTTCTTTATAATAAACTTAAAAATATAATAAATAATGAAATAGGTGAAATAAATAAGTAAAATATATAAATATTAAATAAAGACCAGTGGAATTTTTAGTGTTGCTTTAATCTGAAATAAACTTTATAAAAAAAATACAACCAGCCCGACTCGCGTTACATATTGGAAATTTGAGATTGGAGATGCACTTAGTCAGACGGAGAGTCTGTTCAGTACTGATTATCACTGAAACCTAAGAAAAATAACTAGTGGGTATTTTAATCTAATATGTCATGATGCCTCACTCTATTTCTGTCTACACAATAGTTAGCCTTGAGCACGAAGGCACTCACCTGCATGCCTGAACGTTACAAACTCTCCTTGAGTGTTCAAAATGATATAGATAAAATTAAAAGAGGGCCATCAGAGCAAACATTGTACTCATGTCAGCAAACATCGAGATGTAACTGTGAGTAGGCTATCAGAGGGGCTTTTCACGTATAAACTTTATAACATTTATTCGTGTATTTTTATTAACTGTATAAATATGGATCCCGGAAGTGCAGACGGGTTCGCTGTTGATTCACAATCTGGAATTCCGGGTTCGAGTCCCTGGCAGAACATAAATCGTTGGGCGCGTTTCCTATATCCTAATGCGCCTGTTCACCTAGCAGTAAATACTATAGGTACCCAGAAGTTATTCAGCTTGAAGGGTTGCATCCTAGGGAGGGGTCAGTAGTTCGGCCTTGTGTAATATATAATATATATTAGGCCTCCATATAAGCCTAACATATACATATATACGCTGTCTTCCTGTCCCCCGACAATGAATTATTATTTTATATATGATTTCCTTGAGAGGTTCTTAGGTTGTAGTTCTCAAGCCAGGATTTGGATGCACTTCTAAAGTGTCATAAAGAATCTTAAAGTTAAATGTTAATTAATTTATAGACTGCAATAATTGATCGCCTCAACGTTGTATTTGATTCCTTATAATAAATCTAGAAGAGCAGGATTTGAAAGTTGGTAAGAGTTCATAAATATACAATGCAACGGTAAGCGGAAATTCTCAATGAAATATTTTCATATTCATTTTTGTACCTGTCGCTGATACAGAATAAATCATTAAATAATTTCATATTTTGGATCACTTTGAGACTTAATATAATGTTCCGCTAATGTACTGAATTACTTACACCGAATCATTGCAACTAAAAAACAATTTTACCAACTTTAATTTCGCGAATATCTTCTAATACATTTATTAATTCCCCACATATTGTTAAAACCGACTTGTCCAATTCATATGCCGTGGAAACTTGAAGAAAGCAAATGTAAGGAAGTGTATAGAAGGTATAAAATCCTAAAGTGGCAGTGTCTATGGTTGAGCGCGGGTGGTGACGTCAGGGCGGGGTTGGGAGGGTCGCCGCCAGATGGCACCGTAATAGCCAGCGTAACCAGGGCGGGAACAAAGCACAGTCTTTTGATAGACGTGACGGAGTGCGCTAGTGAGAGCTCCCTGT